AAGTAGAAACATATGGCAGTTGTTTAAATAAAAACACAAATTAAACCCTTCCACTATGTCTACGAGTAATAAATGAGATTCAACCATTTCAGTATAATGTGCTTCATGCACAAACTTGTTTTCAATCCTAAATCCCTCCAGGGACCATACTGTGGAAATTTCTAGAATCAACTTCTACATTTTAAGTAGATACATATCAAGATTGTTAGAAACATTTTCAGGGGATATTTTGACTACCATCATCATCATCATCATCAGTAGTTGTAGTATTTTGAAATTATAATAACACCATTCCTCTGAGATTTTGTCTTTTTATTTATTTTCCCATCACCACAATGACAGAACTCACAAACTTGGTACAATGTTTACCTTATCTCACTGCCCATTTAAGCATTTATGTAGTCATCAAGAACACTGGGGAAGAGATTCTATGGTGTAGACAGGATTAAAATGAGAAGTTAGATTACTGAGGATTCCTAGTTCACAGTTCCAAACATCACTGTCTTATACTTACATTTCTTTAAACACATACAAGAGTGATACACAGAGTCATGACTCCCAAGATTTTGACATTATTAACTATTTCAAACATCAATAATTGAGGACAAAGGCACCAACCAGTATTTAATTCACTGAATATAGAAAATGAGGCCTTATCAAATATTTTTCTGAAACAGATTATTTCAAATGTTACAGTGGAAGTTTATGATCTAATTATATAGTAACTGTGTAACAAATCTATGTTGCATCTTCCAACACCAAAAGATCAACTATGATTCCCATCAGTATTATCCCCAAGAGCAATAAAGAAGATCTGAAATAATTTTATATTAAATATGTTTAATCCTACTGTATGTTCATGTTCCTGACAATGATAAGTGTGATTCACCATATAATTCAATTTATTAAAAATAAAAACATTGTTAATAATTAAAATATTTAATGAATTATTAACTAAAGTTAAATATTGAAGTTTTAAAATTTGAATACTAAAAATATCCTGCTTGAGTTAATGTAATTTCTAGAGAGCTTTCCTCATTTCCTGTTCGAATGAATATTACCCCATGGTACATTACAAAGGTACAAATGTACATAGATTTTGTTGTAGTCTGGAAAATATGGGAAGATACATGACATGTGTGTTTTGCATCAGATGATAGAGGATGTTCCCTTAAGTCTATAGCTTCATAAAACTAATATTACATTGCCAGGTACAGTCACACAATAGAGACAATTATTAATGAATGGGTTGACAGTGGTGTGTTAAAAATAAGAAAACTCAAACAGTAGAATTCATATCGAAATCTAATCAAGTAAACATTGTTTCTTCCTAGTTGATATTATAATGTATTCCGTGTCAAAAAATCACCATCTTATTTCAAGTGGGGTTTCTTAATACCTTGGACTATAAAACACATGTGACTGCAACATTGGGTAGATATATCCAATTTTATATGGGAGAAAGCATTTTTTCCTGTCTGTTTCTTAGAACAATAAAGTTTTCATCATATTTTCCATAAGTTGCACTGGTGCAGAGACATATATTCACTCATGGGTTTTCAAAAATTATCATGATGATTAAAGAACCTCATTTTTCAATGCATATACACTTCCTCTGTGGAGTATGTAACACTGCAGTCCTTAGGCGTTTTAACAAGTATGACATTGGAGCTGAATTAAAGACATAATCATGAGTCATCAGTAATGAATTAATCTCAAGTACACACCCCCTTATCCATCAAAATTACTTGAACAATAACAAATCTAACTCATTTCACTAAATGTTAACTCTACTTCAGACATGAGGTCTTAAAGAACCGCAACACTTTACAGTTTTATATAAGTCCACGAGCTCATCAATCAAATTACTTTAAAGTTCCTGACGTTAAATCAATATCTTAGATATATTGTGATAGAAATGTATTCTGACAAAAAAAGGGGAAAGATTTGGACTTCTGTTTTGTTGCTCATAAAGAAACATGGATGAAGTGTGAACCATTCAGACTACATATACTTCCTATTTTGATTTTTGCAGAAGATCATCACTGAGTAGATTCTACAACTCAGTAACAGGTAAAATTGGAAGATATACTACCTGAAATAAACACATAAACATTACCAAATCCTTAATGGATTTTAGATACACCTTTGAACATGAAAATAGGGCATAGGAATTTGTGTTTGAGTGTTTGCATGTAGCTAGAGTTTTCCTGCCTGGCCCACAGTCAGGACAAATCTCTCTCACCCGCCAGTCCCACAGCCACTCAGACCCGACCAAGTAAACACAGAGACTTATATTGGTTACAAACTGTATGGCCATGGCAGGCTTCTTGCTAACTGTTCTTACAGCTTAAATTAATCCATTTCCATTAATCTATACCTTGCCACATGGCTCATGGCTTACCGGCATCGTTACTTGCTGTTTCTCATCATGGCGGCTGGCAGTGTCTCTCTGACTCAGCCTTCCACTTCCCAGCTTTATTCTCCTCCTTGTCCCGCCTACACTTCCTGCCTAGCCAATGGCCAATCAGTGTTTTATTTATTGACTAACTAGCAACACATTTGCCATACAGAACATCCCACAGCACTTCCTCTTTTTTTTTTTTCAAAAAGGAAGGTTTTAACCTTAACAAAGTAAAATTACATATAATTTGGGAATTTGGGTGTAGCTTCTCTTATTACTTCCTGCTGGAGGGGGGCGCTGTGTCTTCTGGGGAAACAAAGAAAATTTTAGGATCATGGAGTAGTCCATGAGGCTGTATCGTCTGAGCCAGTTGCCTTGAAACTATTCTGGATGTTGGATCATCTGGGCCTTCGAAAAAAGGGGAAGTGGAAGGCTGAGTGAGAGAGACACTGCCAGCTGCCATCAAGACAAGGAAGATGTAAAGTACCGGTAAGCCACAAGCCACATGGCAAGGTATAGATTAATAGAAATGGATTAATTTAAGCTGTAAGAACAGTTAACAAGAAGCCTGCCACGGCCATACAGTTTGAAACCAATATAAGTCTCTATGTTTACTTGGTCGGGTCTGAGAGGCTGTAGGACTGGCGGGTGAGAGAGATTTGTCCTGACTGTGGGCCAGGCAGGAAAACTCTAGCTACATTTGCATTATTATTTGAACTCAAAAATTAATTCATATCACAGTGTTCACACTGTGTTCACCAGCTTCACACATAGTCTCACCTTGTTTTCAGGTGACTTTTCTGGGGATATCATTATTTTGATGGGGAGAGTAAAAAGAGATTGTTGGTTCTTATGAACTGACAGCAAACTGATTAACAGATACTCCATGCAGGATTCCAAGCAGTATCTCTTCTAACTCTCCCCCATCAAATGCAGAAAGGGGAAAAAATCCTACTGAAGAAATGTGGGAAACTGAAGAGGAAATACAAAATTCCTCTAAAAAATTATAAATGTCTATAAAAATGGTAATAACACTTATTTTGTATAAAGTAAGCTGATATCAAAGCAGTTCATAGATTCTTGATTCCAATACACAGTTTAGAAAAATAATGATGAAAAATCATTTAAAACATTGATGAAATTCAGTGACCTATTCTTTATTTGTATTATTCATGTTTTCATTTTTTAAAGGTACAGCATGCTTTCTTTTTCTTTCTTCCTTTTTTAACAACAAAACTAAAAATAAAATATAATAAGAAAAGAAATACATTGAAGTTGGACAAGGTAAACCAAGAGAGGGAAAAGAGCCCCAAGAGAAGGCACAAGATTACAAAATCCACTCGTTCACACACTCAGGAATCCCATAGAATTACTACACAGAAAGCTGTAATATATATGCAGAGGAACTGGTGCAGACTTGTGTAGGCCCTGTACATGGTGCATCAGTCTCTGTAAATTCATATGCAATTGGTCAGTTGATTAGAGAGACTCATTCTTCTGGTGGCCTCCATCCCTTCTGCCTCCCCAACTCCTTCCCTGATTTCTCAGGAGAGGGATTTGATGAAGACATCCAATTTAGAGTTGTGTGTTCCAAAGTCTCTCTCTCTTTGTAATGTCTAGCTGTAGGTCTCTGTATATGTTCTCATGTGCTGCCTGAGTTAGTCTCTCTTATGATGGCTGAATAAGGCAATGAACTATGAGTAAAGCAGAAATCATTAGGGGTCATTTTATCATTCCTTCTTTCTAAAACCAAGAGTATTTGATTTTACTCAATGTTTCTGAGCTATCTAATCTCTAGTTCTAGGACACTCAAGCAGTGTTGGGTATTGGTTCCCTCTCATGGAGTGGGTCTTAAGTCAAATCAGACATCAGTTGGTTACTCACACAAGTTCTATGCCACCATTGCCCTAGCATATTTTGCAGGCAGGATAGATTGTAGCTCAAAGGGTTTGTGGCTGGGTTGGTGTTTACATTTCTCTTTTGGTAGCCTGCAAAGTACCTTCCTGCACCAAAGACAATAGAATAGTGTTTTTCTTGTAGAAAGGAAGGACATACCCTCCTGTAAAGTGTAGCATGAGAATGGGCATGGGTGAGTATCTGTGTGCAAGCTCTTGCCTCTATGTTTTTATCTTTCACCTTATTTCTCTATTGTTTTCTAAATCTGAGACAAAACTCAGATATCTAACACTACCATAATGTTCATGGTATAGTAGTTTTAAGGTCCCCCCATTAAGGGAATGCTGTGCCTCTCTGCCAAAAGAATAGAATATGCCTTTGGGTGCTGATGTTCCACTTTATATCCCTGAAAAAATAACATTTTTGGCAGATGTTTTAAAATGTTCTTTTATCTTTTTTTAAACATCAGAGAGACATTCAGCTCACTTCCTAAGAGTGCCCCCCTCTGGCTCTTAGGCCATCCTGGCTATCAAGCCTCATGTACTGAAAGACATATCATAGAAAGTTTACATTATGTCCTGAATATCATGTTTATGATGTTGTGGATAATATTTTCCCATCTAATTAAGACACATCAATGAATTATGTACTTATTCTCAATAAAAATTATTTCTTGTTCTATTATCGACTAGTTCAGTTTTATCTTATTTTTTATTGATTTACATTTTGATTTGTTTCAAGACAAGGTCTCACTATGTAGCCCTGGCTGTCCTAGAACTCAATATATAGACCATGATGGCCTTGAACTCACAGAAATACACCTTCCTCTGCTTCCCAAGTCCTGGAATTAACAGTATGCACCACCTTGCCTGGTTAATCACATTTTTTAAAAGATTTATTTTATTTTTTAATTTGTGTGTCTGTTTAAGAGTATGTGAACCAGTTGGATGCAGTACCTGTGGAGTCCAGAAGAGGGTGCAGATTTCCCTCGAGTTAGAGTTACAGATGTTTGTGCACTGCCATGTGGTTGATAGGAACTGAACCCAGGTCATTTGCAATGGCAATTACTTCTCTGAACTAGTCATCCCAAAGTAGAATATTTTTTAATAGTTAGAGTGGAGTGCATATTTTTGTTTGTTGGTTATTATTATATCATGCTGATTGAAGACAGAAATGTATGCATGAGAAATCAATTTATTTAATCAGTGGAAGAGTCAGTACTATGGTAGGAGGATGGGAAGAAAATCCATGAAGCAGAGATAATCTTGCTTCAGAGATTCGGGCTTCATAGGCAAGATGAAAAGAAAAAATGAAAGGTGAGTTATCTTCATTGTCATGATTCTGTTTTCACGGAAAAAGTGATGTGGGAAATACTCCTGATCTTGCTGTCATCTGTGAAGCTTCAAAAACAAAAAGCAAAACAAACAAACAAAACAGTAAGTTGTTCATGAGCTGATGGGACTGATGAACTTTCTGAGATTGCAAATGAAAGAAAAATTTAATGGATGAGGACTATAGTGGAAGGTTTGATAAAAATGACAAATGTCACAGGGTTAGGCTTATGTTTGTCTTTGCTGACTTCCATAGCTTTGTACTGGGCTTTAGATAGACAGTTTTCTATGTAAATATTGATTATCTACCACAAAAGGAAAGAATGTGCAAGGTTGTGTCTCAGGAGATTTCTAGAAAGTTCATCTACATTTACAGTATTTCCAAACACAAGATACACTCTTGAATTCCACAAATATTACTCATTTTCAACAATTGAGAATTTCACAAAATTCTTTCACATCAAGATAAAAGAAATCTACACTTTGCTTTAGGGGAGAGTTGCTTTTTTCTTGTTATAACGACTAATGGCAATGTCAATCATAGCTTTGTCACATTTGAGTGTATATATATATATATATATATATATATATATATATATATATACTAGATTTTTTCTATTAAATATATAACTAATAGACTAAAGGATGAATTCTATCAGATTAAACAGTGAGCAAGCTCTTCTGCTCTGTTTGTACTTACCCATACAGGGTCTTTATTGATGACAAGTGTCTATGAAAGATAGTTTTGAGAAAGGGAGAAAATAAGCACAAATAAAAAACATTGTTAGATTCCCTTAAAATTCCCAGTGATTTTGAAATTTAAAAGTGTGAATCAATGATTGTTCTGAATATTTTCAGATGCATTTATGTGCTGTGTGAAGCACAATGGTGTTACCTGTGGGCTCCAAGTGCTGGATATTCTCATTTGGAATATTGAATTTGTTGGCCAGCTCCTTAAGCTCCTGTTTCTGTGCTTTGCTCAGACTCTCTTCTTTCCCTACATTGCATGGAACAGAAAACTAAGGGTCCCTTAAGATAATGGGTAACTCAGAGCAGCCCCCATTTAAAATGGGTCAGTTGGTACTGACCCATGGAAACATCCTACCTTCTGGACCCTCCCTCATCCCAATTCTGCTCAGCCTAAGATTTCTAAAGTGAAAAGAATACATCTAATGGAATCAAAATGTGAGTAACGATGACCTTCCCCACCTTGAAGACTAAGTATTTATTTGCTATTATTATTTTTTATTATTATGATGATTATGATTACATTTATTCATGTTTTCCACATCAGGATAATGTTTTTTCAAAAAGGGTTGTATGGAATCCTGATGGTAGGAACCTGTGAACTAAATGTCTGCATGGTCTGACTTTCCACTTTATTTGTGTGTAGATTCTAGTATCCATACCCAGGAATTGTTGATTATAATTGAAATGAACAGTTAAATCAGGTGAACAGGTTCATGAACCAAATATCAACAACCACCCAAACCCCTCACCTCACCCTCTGTATCCACCACTCACCCACGCCCGTTCCAACACCCAGCCCCCACTCTACCCCGCCCCTCCCCTCATAGCTTTATCAAACAAAGCAAGCTATTTTTTTTTGGTCAACTTAACACAGCTGAGATCACATTTGAAGTGGGAACCTCCATTAAGACAACGCCTGCATCGGACTGGTCTGTGGGAAACTTTGTAGGGCATTTTCCAGATTGACGGTTGAGGTGGAAGGGCCCAACCCACTGTGGGAAACTCTGTAGTATGTTTTCTTAAATAGTGATGGAGGGGGGAAAGCCCAGCCTATTGTGGGTGGTTGTGTTCCCTGGGCTGGTGGTCCTGGGTTTTATAAGAAAGCAGGCTGAGCAAACTATGAGATGCAAGCAGCACCCCTTCATGGCCTCTCTGTCAGTTCCTGCCTCCAGGTTCCTGCCCTGTTTGAGTTCCTGTCCTGACTTCCTTCAGTGATGGGCTACAATGTGGAAGTGTAAGTTAAAAAAACCTTTTCCTCCCCGACTTGCTTTTGGTTATGATGTTTTATCCCAGCAATAGAAACCTTATGATAGGCACCACACTCACCAGCAACCAAAATCACATTTGTCTCCTTTCCACTGTTGTCAACATTAACATTGTGAAAGATGATGATGTCATCTGACTTCTTTACAACTTGAAAATAATTTTTACCAGAGTCTGCAATTAAGAGCAGAAACAATTTAGAACTCAGCAGAATTGTCAGGGTTTTTTTTTCATTATATTTGACATACCTATCACACTTTTTATTCCTTCAATTGCATCACAAATGTCCTTCACAATGATATAAATTGGAAATGAGAGCTACAAAGCAGGACAGATACTTTAGACTCCACCTTGCTCTTATGAGAAAAAATTCTATTTTCAATAAGAAATTCTATAATTGCATTAAGTCTCCACAGCCTATTTAAAAGTAAAACTCACCAGGCTAATATTAAAATAACACACTGTAACCCAGAAGTTGTGGCACACATCTTTAATCCCAGAACTCGGTAAGCAGAGGCAGGTGAGTCTCTGTGAGTTCAAGGCCAGGCTGGTCCACACAGGAAGTTCCAGAACTGTTGGGGCTACACAGAGAAATCTTGCCTCAAAAAAACCGTAACAGCAATAACAAAAAAGCACACTGTATAGTTTTCCATAAAATAAAAAGTTTAAGAAAGCAATCAGGGAGCATCATCATATTGTCTTCTGAATATCATTTAGACTTCTCCTAAATAATAGGCACAGGAATCTGAATTTTTACTCTTGTTGGTTTTAAGCAAAATTCAAATTAAACACAATACTTTTTTTGCCAACTTGCCATATTATACATTGCCCTTCTTAGCTTTGGGATTTGAGTTATTCACATCCTTAAGTATTTTCTGTATATGTAAAATTTTCAAATTTCATATTCAACAAAATCGTATCATCTGAACTAAAAGAAATAATATTGAGAATGAGTTTTAATATTTTAGATGATCTTCCAGTCATTTTCAATGGTTGTCAACCATATGACATTCATATCCCAGGGATTTAGTTTGACATGTCTGTAATAATTTTTTCCAGGAATGTGTGTAATTCACTTTAACTTCCCATAGTCCAATAAATATTTGGAAATTTAGTTAGAATTTTGAAACTTGAATCAGAAATTATCAGATGGAATTGTTCTGGAATCCAGGCCCCTCGGTGTGAGGCCTGGGCCAACAGTGCACATTCTCATTCTCTCTCTCTCTCTCTCTCTCTCTCTCTCTCTCTCTCTCTCTCACACACACACACACACACACACACACACATACTCACAGTCTGTCATATACAGGTCATCTTTCTCTTTTCTTCCCACAACTGTGTGTGTCTGGCACTCGCCTTCCACCCTTAAAAAAAAAAATCAAAAACTCACCCTTCTGAATTTACTCTTTCCAGATTGCTAATATTTCATTATTGTGTTGGTAGCATTAACTGCCTTGAAGTAATTTTTGATTAGGGTAAATAAACCCATTTTTGAAGACTGAAACAGCAACTCTGGGGTCATGATTGGCATGGGCAGTAAATCTAGGCTTCCAAGAGAAGACTCTGTCCTCAATTGTCTACACACCATTACTATTTGTGACTGATTTCAACCAGAATTACCCAACATTCTAAGACCATAGGAAAATGGCAGAGCTAATCTGGCTGAAGTCAAGGACATGACTCAGGCTGTGGGCTGCTGTTCTCTGAATACACCTAGGAGACCAACTCCATTTTTCATGCATAACCCACGTATTTGAGTGAAAATTTCACAATGACATTCATGTTCACTATTTCTCAGTCCTGTCCCTGTGCATTGGGGTGAATGTCACTTACTTGACATTGAATGTGATTGTGAGTGTCTGGCATTCGTCACTGCACTCCATGTGCTTAAAATAAGCTCTCAAAGGTCCATCTTTGAGTACCTTCTCCACATTATCTGCACCTATGTAAAGGGTGCGCCAATTTCCCGTCAACCTAAGGAGCACAGACCCCATTTTGAATGTCGGTTAGTCAATCCATTTCCTGTTTTTTTTTTCAGCAACATTCATGCTAATTATTACATATATTTTAGGTCAGTCAACAAGTAGACCTAGTGAAATGTAGATGTCTTCTTCCTGGAGAGTAAATCGTGAGATGACATCATCACTCCTTCACACTAGAACCTGGGACACTGGGATACAGTTCACACTGTGTCAATCAACTACAGGGAAAGTCCAATCTGGAATTTTCTCATCTTAACCTTCCTTCACACTGTAGACAGATCTCATTGAAAGCATATAAGGAGTTGGAGAAACACAAAGATTGAATTACAGATAGGATTTGGATATGGTATGGAGATATATTTTATGACGGATGATGAGCATGCTCAAACCAACCTCAGGGTGTATATAAACACACCAGACCCTTTCATCCCCAAATGCACATACCTCTGAGGGAGTGATGTCAGGATTGTTATGATGTGCACAGGACACACCTAACACAAGAGCGAGCAGCAGGAACTTCACCATGATAGAGCCTGGATTCCCTGCTTCTGACAGAGTTTGGAGTCCGACAGGTATTGGAAAGACCCAGAATCTTCTCCACCTTTTATAGTATTTATCTTTGGCCTGAGATGTGGTGGATGGATTGTCCACAGTGAAATTCTGATATATCCTGGTTGGCAGCAACAGCCATGGACAACAATTCTGTTTTTCTGATAGCTTCCTGATGAGACCAATTTGATTTAAGCCATGAAATTGAACTTTCTGGCCACTGTGGATGTGGGAAGGCTGTCAAAAAACACAAACATTCATGTCCCTAAAGTCCAAGTTTCTCATTTGGATGAAGTGGAAAATGTGGTTTGTTTTTTTTTTTTTTTTTTGGTTTTTCGAGACAGGGTTTCTCTGTGTAGCTTTGTGCCTTTCCTGGGACTCACTTGGTAGTCTGGGCTGGCCTCGAACTCACAGAGATCCGCCTGGCTCTGCCTCCCGAGTGCTGGGATTAAAGGCGTGCACCACCACCGCCCGGCTTACTCTTGTTTCTTAACTATGATAAATTCTCCATCAGGCAGACCCTTTGACCACTGAATACAATATGGATATTAATCACTTTTCATTCAATTAAATATCACTAGACATATATCTCTGGAACATTCTGTAATGTTAGAATGTTCATGTAAAAGCCTTTGTGAAGAAGTGTGCTGTTTTATCTCCTGGGCAAAAATTTACAATTTTGATTCCTGATATGAAACATTTTTATAACTTGATATTCTCATCAACAATGTGAAAATTTTTGTTTGTTTTTTTGTTTGTTTGTTTGTTTTTCAAGACAGGATTTCCATGTGTAACAGCCCTATGTCCTGGAACTAGCTCTGTAGACCAGGCTGGCCTTGAACTCACAGAGATCCACCTGCCTCTGCCTCCTCAGTGCTGGAGATTAAAGGTATGCACCACCACCACCCAGCAATGTAAAAATTTTTAATGATGTAAATTCTCATTGTTTTATGGCTCAGTTGTTGATATCATGTCATGGTAATGGTCATAGCTTATTCTAACTTTATATTTTCAATACTAAATATATGTACACATTTATATCTGTTTGTTATTAGAGTATGTTATTTGACAAGTATGTCTCTGAACCATTTATACAACTTACAGTCAGTTGCTAATTTTCTCCTGATTCTGTCTGATGATTTCTCTACATTTTCTCCATTCAAACCTTCGCTCAGTAGAAGGATTTGCAAATATTTGCCCAAATACATCATTCAATATTTATGTTTTTAAAATTATTTTTCAAGATTCCAAAGACTTTAAGAAACGGTCACCCAACCCATGGCCACAAAGGCTCTTCATGTATTTTGTCTTACTTCATTGTGTACCATGTATATTTGATTCTTATTACATTTTTATGTATCTCCTTCTTTATTATTGGCTACTTGTGTGGTTTTGATTCTCTGTGAAATAACTCAATTCCATGGTACAAGGTCGACCTTACCTACAAACATCAATGTCCTCCATGGATTTCTTGAGAAATCTCTACTTTTCCACAGAATTCCAGTGTTCTTTAGAATCAAAATAATGTTGTATAAAATTCAAAGATAAATCAATCAAGATCAGTCTTCATTTAATACCTCACAAAGTGGAAAATTACCTAAAACATTACAAGCACTCATTAAAGTCCTTCTGATTTTTCCTTGAGACCCAATAACAACAACACATTAATCCTATTTTCTGAGGGACCCTTCTGGAAAATTCCATATGGCCTTATACAAATTCAGGTTCATCGTTCCACATTTCCAACAGCTTTATCAAAATGTAAGTTCTTTCTTATTCATTAATTGCAGTGAATTTTTATACCATCTACATGATTAAAGAAAGATGATACCATACAGCCTAATCCAGAGACTTGGAAAAATGAAAACAAATTCTGTCTCATGTCAGAACATCTATTGGTTCTGATGGATCTTAGAAATTATGTTTGAAGTTTAATATTGTATTTATATATATATGTATATATATTCTTTATATTTTCATATGTGGATATATTTATTTTTATATATTTTATATGTGGATATGTATTTATTTTTATACATTTCATATATAAATATGGATGTACTTTATATTGATGTTTATATACTCCAATTTATATATTATGACTATATAGTCATATACATATATATTTGTTTCCATTTCAAGTAATTTATCAGTTAAAGACCTTAACCACATATTTTATCCATAGCAGAGAAATGAAGAAAGAATGGAAAATATAGGGACTTCAAATCTACAGAGTAAAAATATACAAAATATTGACACAAGGGATTCTGTTACTGGAGACTTGGCCAAGCTTTGAGCTCTTTAATGTCTGGCCATTGAGTAGAATTTAACTAAATTTTCCACAGCCTACTGACCTTCACCTCCAAAAAAATAAATAAACATGTATTGATACTTCACTCTTCCTTATTTTTGTGTCCTTTTGTATTGGATGCAATGTTTGGGTTTGTTTGTTTTGTTTTGTTTCCTTTCCTTTGATGTAGTAATCTCCAGATTCTTCTGTGTGTTCCAATTTTAAGTAAAATTCATGGGAAAATGTGGCACTAGGCGTTCTGAGACTTTGTTCATGGAGACAGATAGATCTTCCAAATTCTAACATTTTATTGGTGGGGAATTCCTGTCATTCTCAGAGCCTGGCTGCCATCCAGTTTCTCTTGGTTTGTGGGACTCTCCATGCTGTGTGACTTAAACTTTGGAAAGTTCACAGCCTTGGGAGAAATGTTGTAATTAAAGTATCAACTCAAAAAAATTTTAATCAAAATTTAAAAAGAAAAGAATCTAATCAAATTTATCTTGTTTCAGGTCTTAGAAAATGTTCAACTTTTCCCTGTTCAATGTTTTAAGGTTGTATTAGCATATGTTTATTGTATTAATTATACATGATAATGGGTCTAATTGTGACACATAATAATGGGTTTCATTTTAAAGTATAGTTTTGTGTAGCAACACTTAAAATATTTTATTATTATTTTGTTTTTTAATTACCTTACAAATTAGCAGATTTCTTTATCAGTTTTCAAACACACCTAGTTTTGATTAGCCCTTTCACATCTCCTTCTGTATTCTTCCTCTCTGCTCCTCACTCCAGTCCAATATTGACTTTTTTTTCACATCATGCATTACGCTACCCACACCTCCCTTATTTTTTAGCCTCTCAAGGCCCTTTTCTCAATTTACTGACCTCTCCACACACTCCCTCTTAAATATGCACATATAAATTGCTAGCTAGGATATGCATGCCAGTTGTTATTTTTTACCGTTAACTGATTTTTTTAAGTGCATAATATGAATTTTCCTTTCCCATAGCTCCTGGACTATAGTCAGAAGATTTCCTGTGTCCTGGCCTGCTGGTGGTTGGGAAAAATCTCTCCCACTCACATCCCCCAAGTAAACACACAGAGGCTTATATTAATTATAACTGCATGGCCATGGCTCAAGCTTTTTGTTAGCTAACTCATATATCTTAAATTAGCCCATAACTGTTAATCTATGTATTGCCATATGTTCCATGACTTTACCTGGGTCCCATTACATGTTGCTCCTTAGGTGGCTCTCTGGCATCTCTCCCTGCCTTTTTCCAGTCTCTCTGAATTTCCTGCCTGCCTCTAAGCTGCCTTGACATAGGCCAAACGGCTTTATTTATCAACTAATCAGAGCAACACATATTGGCAGCATACAGAAAGACAATCCCCCATCACTTCCCCTTTTCTGTCTAAATAAAAAGAAGGTTTTATGCTGTGGGATGTTCTGTATGGCAAATGTGTTGCTCTGATTGGTTAATAAATAAAACACTGATTGGCCAGTAGCCAGACAGGAAGTATAGGGGGACTAACAAAGATGAAAATTGAGGGAACAGGAAGGCAGAGGGAGAGACCTGCCAGCTGCCACCATGACAAGCAAGATGTAAGGTACTAGTAAGCCACGAGCCACGTGGCAACTTATAGATTAATAGAAATGGGTTAATTTAAGATAGAAGTGGATAACAAGAAGCCTGCCATGGCCATACAGTTTGTAAGCAATATAAAAGTCTCTGTGTGTTTACTTGGTTGGTTTTGAGCAGCTGTGGGACTGGCGGGTAAGAGAGATTTGTCCTGACTGTGGGCCAGGCAGGAAAACTCTAGCTACAGTTTTAACTTTAACCTATTAAAATTACATATAATAAAACAGTTATCAAGCAAGAATTACAGTTACAATATCTAGTCTACTTGTATTTTGAAAAATTAAAGAAAAAATTTTCTATCTATCCTATATTTGTGAGTCTAAGATTTCATATCTAATTTATCTTTTATCATAACCAAGAAAATTATGATTATAACTATCTGGTCTTCAATTACATCAAAGACCCCAGAAGGATATAATACTATCTAAGTAAACAGGAAATGCATTGTAAGCAACTTCCAAAATTCTGGAAGTGACAAAGACAGCTGCCTGCCTGGACAGTTACCCAAAGTTCCTCTGTAACATTGGAACATCCATCTTCAGCCCATAGGCCTAGTCTCTCAGTCATTTTTTTCTCTGTGTCCTGTAGAATTTCTGGCAATCTCTTCTAAGAAACAGGGACCATCTCACCTTGCAAAGTTAAGTGGTCACCTTTCTATGGGTCCTGCATGTCCAGTCAATACAACATTTTGTCAAGCAGTCCAGGCAAGAACAGTTTCTTGCCCAAATGGTTATTTTTGCCAAGAAGAAGATAAACTCCACATACAGTGTCTTTGATGCCCATCTTTCTCTTTGAAGTAAATCTGTGCTGCCAGGAGCAGACTCGACTCACTGTCCAGAAAGTCTAAGTTTTTAAAACATTTTAAATACCATATTCTGTAGGTCTTTGAAGTGTTTGAAGATTACCTACCTAATTGAAATATATCTATGTATACCCAGAAAACTTGACTAATATGATTGTAAGTTTGATTATCATAGATGACTAATTATTAGTCTGTATTTCTCAACTATATACTACAATTTCAAATGAGTTGCACAAA